CAATGCTGCTTTCTGAACACTGTGATACGATCTGGCTTTCAATGTGATTGTGCAATCTGTATATTGTCATCTCGCTATTGCTCATTTTCCTTGCAATTTGGTATCGGAGCTGGTTCGAACTGCGCTCATTGGTTCTTCGCAATAGCTGTTCGGTGCTTCACATGAGGTGTGGGGCAGTGATAAGGCTTGGGTGTTGAACGTAAGGCGGCCCAGGGTCGTGTGGGCGTGCCGGGAAGCTATGTGGTGACATTAGGGGTGTATGCTGGATGATGAGAGCTCGCTGATGTGGCATTTCAACCGAGGTTGAACTGCATTCTGCTGTTGGTTGTGCCGAGGCAAAGACCGGTCATCATGAATGCACATCAGGTTGCCGGTGAGAAATATGTGGTTGGGGGCAGCATTATGAGGTACGTTGCTTCCTTCCTTATCTACCCTCTTCATTACTTCTTACCGTGAGGAAGTGAGTTCTGTCTTGAGAGTCCTCTCAATGTGAGGTGTCGCGAGCGCTCAACCTTGAGAGTCGACATTCTTCTTGGGCAGCAAGCTGGCGGGAGACGGGCGATGCCTCTGAAGGGCCCTGGACGAAGCACTCGGGTCACGATCACCATGCCAACCCGTTGGGACTAGTACACGCATGCTTTGCCACAAGTCCTTGGTTCCGCTGCTGCGCAATAGAGGTCATGCAGGGCATGCCAACCCTTTGAACGACCGCTTACCAGACCGTCTTTAAATATTTCTGGCGGGGACTCGTTGTTGATTCTGGTTGTGATCGTCGTCCTGTCTGCGACGTTAAATAATTCCTGAGGAGTTACGGGGGATCTCCTTAAATGCCTCCGGATCAGCCAGATCAAACTGGGTGTAAGGCTCATTGCATGTGAGGATAAATAAAGTGCAGGGGCTGGCAGGTTTGGCATTGACTTGGGGCACAGGGGTGGGCCGGATTGCACACCTTTAGATACGCTGCTCAACCAGATGTCTAGGAACGTCGACACAAAGAGACTACTGGGATACAAGGAAAGGGTTGGATTCCGGCAATTGTTCGTCGTGGCATTAATTAGATAAACAACCATTCAACATACATCTTTGCAGGGACCATTATTTTTACTTTTGATTATTTAGTTGTTACGGACTTGACTAACAACTGACAGACAACTGCAGATAGAGTAGTATATTCTTTGCTGCATTGCAATCTGTATTAGAGTAATCTAAAAATAGATTTAATATTCCATGTAGGATCTGACATTGATTGACACCTAACCACCTAACTGTTTCTGTCCAACCGACCGAAGTTAGTTGTGTATCATAAATCGGTTGTGTGTCATGCTGAGGTAGGATTCAGTGTGGATTCTAGTTTAGATCACACACACTATAGCTCATTAGTGATGCAAGCAGTAGTGAGGAGGAGTTGTTAGTGGATGACCTTAGGGTTACTCGAAGAACTGCTCTCAGTCGACCCTTGACTTTCCTAGAGTTAGGTTCAGGAGACGAGAGAAGACTCCGGATAGAGGCTAGAGAGCGAACAGCGGCAAGAAGAGCGACGGTGGCTGAGGCCAACGCCAGGTCTAGAACTACAGCTAGTACCGGTACGACCATGGCTACTTCCTCTACCATGTCGCAGGCCTCTACACAGGCCACTTCATTAGGAGTCAGTCAGATTGGTTCTCAGGCTTCTGTTAGCCAGAGTGTTGGTTTGCAAGTCAGCCAGCAGGCTCAACTCACTCAGGAGGATTATGAAATCCTCCAAGCAAAAGAACTTTAAGATGAGCTACGACGGCAATTGGATGAGGCAACAGAGAGAAGAAGAAGAGCAATCATGAGAAAAGCTAGACTAGGTAGTAGATTGCAGGAACTAGGCAAGTTGGAGGCACTAGATGAGTCCACATTAGATCCCGCTATGCAAGCACTGCGGAATTCGCTCCTGTGTGTGGCGGAGACGCAGGTTGTTCAGCAGGAGGTGTTGGCTGAACTAGTGGCAGGCCAGAAACGAATTCTGGCTGCACTACAGGCTCCTCGTCCAGTGATGAGGCAGCCTCAGTTTGCTGTAGCTCCCCCATCCGTTGCGGGTCCATCAATGACGTCGTCGCCGGTTGGGCCCTCTTTCTCACCT